CCCAACCAGCTACCCCCTCTCTCTCCAGAGCAGCCACCGCTGCTGCCGCCGATTCCCCCCTCACCCTCCGCAACTCCCAGGTTCTAACCCTCGCTGACCAACCCTACCCCCCCAAGCAAGTCGCCGGTCTTGACCCCCCCACCCCGCCCTACCACCCCCTACAACTACCCAGTTCGCCTCGCTTCCTGACTCGCTCGCTCCGCAACTACCCCCCTGTACAGGTCCGTCTGCCGTAGACAATACCCAGATCCCCTCTTCTCCCCACAACTACCTGCCCACCCCTCCGACAATCACCGGGCATTCTCCGGCGGCAACTACTCGGAGCTCTGGCACCACCGCTACAAACTACCCCACCTCAGCGAACTACCGGGCCCCTCACTCAGCCTCTTCTACGTCCTCCCTTAGCAACTCTCCGGCCACCGGATTCCTCCAACCTCCCAGTTCCAGGGCCCCAATCTGCCGGTGGCCCTTTCGGCCCCTAGCCCCGGGGGCTCCGGGTTTCCAGCTCCTATCCCCTGCACCCCCACACCGTCTGATCTCCAACTCCTCTAGCCCAGTCTCCCACTCCTCTTTCTCCAAGGTCTCTCAACTCGTCGCTCTCCCACCTCTAGGGCCAGGCTCCCGACCCCCTCCCCGAACTCCCCCGCTGGGCTCCGGGGCTCGACCTCCAAGTTTGCCAATTGATTCCTCGCCCGCCCCCCGCCGTCTCAGCGCTCCGTGCCGGTCTAGAGCTCACCTTCGGGGCTGGGCTCCGCCATGGCTTCCAGCATCGCCCCCTCCCCTCCTCCCGGTCCGGCACCCCCCTCCCCGGAGCCGGGGATCCCGGTGCCGCCTCTACTGCTCGGTGCTCCTACTGCTCGCTCCACAGAAGTGTCCGCCTCAGCCCGGTTGAGACTCGGGTCCGCTAGCCGCTGCCGCCACCTCCCTCTACCACTGCCTCCCGCACTCCCGGACCGGGCCCCCCTCCCCCCGCGCCGCCGGCCGCCTGCTCCCTCCTCCTCCTTCTCTCTCCTCCCTCCCTCCTCTTCTCTCCCTCCTCCCTCCGCCGGCGCCGAGGCGCAGTGCACCAAGGGTTTTGTAGTCCGTACGGGGACAGCGGAAAAGGGACCGCATTAGCCTCCGGAACTTTGATTCCCAGAAAGCCACGGGCTGACGCAGGCGCACCAAGCCGCTCCCCTCCCCCGGGGAGCGGCGGGGAGACGGGGAGCCGGAGGGGAGAGCGGAAATGCGCGCGCAGACCCCTGGGAGATGTAGGCTGGGCGGGACGATGAAAGAAGAGGAAGAAGGGATTAGAACTCTCGGCCACCATACTGCCTCGTTCTGCAGCTTCTTTCTCCCCCGGGGGACCGCCCCACTTCCGGCCTGCGGGAGAAATGATCGCTGGGAGATGAAGTACTCCTGGCGATAATGGCTCCCTCCTCCCAGTCTTCTCTCTCCCTGATTCCACTACTCCGGATCCCACTCGCCGGCAAAACTCTAGCCAAGTGACATGCAACTGAGAACAGCCGTTTTACCAGCTCCTACACTGAAAATATCTTCCTTAATTAAAATGTTCTAATAAATGTCCACCTAAAGCAGGTACTTTCGAACTTTCTCCACAGGAACCCACAGTAAAAAAACAGTATTTTTTAAATAAGCATATTTAACATTTAGTTTCACATGTGTCATAAAACTAAAGTTTTATGAAATAATACTCAGTATTCCATTCCATTACAACAAAACCACCCTCTCTTTGCAGACAGGGAAAAGCTCACATGAACAGAATAAACCAAAATATACTTCTATCCCTCCAGCTTGTACCCATTACTCTTCTTTCCCCACAACTGAAACCCACTGACGCCTTGGAAAGACTGAAAGACAGCGGGAGGAGGGGAGCAACACAAGGCAAAATTCAGTTCAGCTTGGTGGTTTCTTCTTTATTGATGTGCCTCCTACCTTCCCCCCACAATTTCAGTCCCTTCCAACTACCCCCAAAAAAGAAGGTAGTGAAAGGAAGGGATTGCTGGGGTTCTGAGCCCCTTGGGCAGTCAGAAAGGGAACAGAAACCAAAACAATCACTAGATGTGACAGAGACTGACAATCAAGAGTCTAAAGCAGAATGGGAAAGGCGGGCAGAGAAAGGGGAAAAGAGAAGGGAGAGGTACAAGATGCCAGCTCCACCATTACCCCTCCTAAGAGAGGCTGGAGAGAAAGCCTTAAACATTAAGAAGTGCCGGTCCTGAATAAGGGAGGTGGTATTTGAGCTTGAAGGAGGAGGAAGTCAAGAAAGGGGGGCCACCTCTCTCTTTGTAGAATGAGAGCCCCCTCCAGCTCAGGGGCAGCAGCTTCACAGACCGTAGACACTTTCGTCACTATAGGCAATGTACAGAAAGAAGTCTTCTTCATGGTGTTCCTGAGATGAAAGCAGAAAACTGTTCAGCAACTGGGCTCCTAACTTACTTCAACCAACCACCACCCAGACACGGTCTTCTAGAACCACAAACCAGTGCCCGACTCCTTCACTGACTCCAACGACTAGCACAAGCAGTATAATCTCTGCAGTCCTGGGCAAAAAGACCTTAAACTGTTTTCTGCTGCTCTGGAATGGGGAGGAGGACTGGGAAGAGTCCTGATCAAACAGTTCCTCTAGCTCACTGTTCTCTTCGCTTCTCTCTACTCCTACTGTTCTGTCCAAACCCCCAACCCACTGCTATCATGAAATTTTAAGGCAAGTCAGGAATCTAGTCCAAAACTACTGATGTAACAACACTTTCTTCCGCTCAGGCTCTTCCAAGTTTCCTCTCCAAAGCCTCCACCACTTCCCAGTCACCATACCTGGTAAAGTTGACCCATTGTGGCACTGGTGGGTGGAATGACATTGTTGACAAAGAAAAACAAGGCATCCTCAGCTCGGAGATGAATTCGCTTCCGGATCAAGAAGTAGAACTGACCAACTGCAAAAGATACAAGGTGTGAGAAAGTCACAGAGATCATAAATGCCCTCAAAAGAACAGGTGCTAGGTGGAGCCTCCTCTTGCAGAGACTGCACTCCCACCCACAGGAAGCAAGCCTGGGTCTTGGGTCAGGTTCCCACCTGTGAGATCAGAAGGCACCAGGTATTTCTTTTTGTCCAGGTCTCCTATCCGAGCTTTGGGAGCCTTTTCTACTATCACCTGATAAAGAGAGGATGAAAATGAGGAGGCAGAGGAATGCAGCCCCGCAGCTGCACCTGTCAAGAACTCAAATAACAATAACCCTAGTACCTAAATCTACCCCAGACTCATCTGTCTTTGCACACGCGGTGCAGTCCTGAGTCCCAGAGATCCTGACCTCACTGACTGGAGTTCATTTAAATATCCAGGATCCATCCCCCGAATAGGGCGTCACCATAAACAACTATCTTAATCAGATGGAGATGACTTGTCTGGGCCGACTAGTGCTTCAATCTCACAACCTCAACTAGCTGGGGGGATGACCACTTGAAGCTCAGGCTGTCAAACTCTCTTAAGGCCTCCACTCACAAATGCCAAGGTTTCTCTCTCCTGTCTACCCCAGGTCCACCACTACCCCACTCCTTTCATCCTCGGCCCCAGGGACAGCAGTTTCAGGCTGGCTCCCAACCCCACCATAGCCAGCAGCCTGATCCCCGCGCTGCCCGTCCCAAATCAAAGGCCAGGCTGTGGCGTCAGCGTAAGCGTCCCGCGCCCTCGGCCCAGGCTACTGTCCTCACCGGCACCCGGTCCGGGTATTTCTTTCGGATCTTCTCGCCCTCAGAGCGGCGCTTCTCGAACGGATGCTCTTCTTTGTATACGAACTTCATCCTCCCGGGAACCGGGCTGGACCGGGCTGGGCTGAGGGAACCCGGGGGGGCCGGACGGGGGGCGGCGGCGACAGCGGCGACGGGCGGGCGGATTCAGCGGAGTGATCCACGAATTTGCGCCACTTCCCTATTCACCAACCCCGCCCCCGACTAACAGGACTGCCCCCCCGCTAAGATACGCCACTACCTCATCGGCACTAACGCTGCTAGCGTAGCAACACCCACTGACCCGCCCCCTCACGCCATTAGCGTAATCGCTTTGGAATTAATGTGTGGGATACGCAGGAGACGTAGCAAAGATGGTTGGTTTTCACTAATCGAAAATAACTCTAAACCTATTCCCCAACCTTGCCCTCAAAGAAGATGGGGCTCAAGAAGAGTATGAGATGGTAATAATCATGAGACTTGGTTCCCCATGTTCCTTTCGGAAATAACGCAGAGGCACAAGCAGAGACAATTACAAGGTTGGCTATTCACAAAACGCGTTGCTACGCTGAAGGCGGCCGTTGACACCAAAACAAAGTAGTACCCAAGTGACAGAGATGATCTCCAGAAATAAGAGTTCAAAAAGAAAACGGATGTTTGGAGATATGTACAGAACACTTGAGTGTCAGGAACGAGTAGACCAATAGGGACTTGAGAGGACGTCAGAGAAGTAGGGACTATGCCAGCGCGGAGGAACACCGCAGTGTTTGAGTGAAATCATGTGATCTCAGAAAGGGCGGAGCGTCACGTGGCGGGTGCGGAAAGTAGGGCCGGCTCGGGAGGGCTCCGGGGAGGCGGAGCCAGCTGGGCGACGTCGGGAAGGAGCCCCTTCCTCGGAGGCGAAGGTCGGAGTATTAGCTGCCCGGGGGGCAGCGCCCGCTTAGCCTGTCCATATCAGTGCTCCCACCGAAGCCCGTTTCTCTAGTTCTACGCCCTTTGGCCGCCCAGGTTTCTTCTTTCGGCCTTCAATAGCGTACTCCTCCGAAGGTATCCTTCCACTTCCCACAGCGCACTCATCCTGTCACTCGGCCCTTCCCGCCAAAGCATCTGGTGTCCACATTCACTATTATTACATTCCCATGCTCAACACCACCTTTCCCCCTGCCCTCTAGTCCAGCAGCAGGCTCTTTCCCCCTCTGCCCTGGAGACAGGGTGTATGTGAACAAAGTGCCCTCCCCTCACTTCCCAAAACCCCAGAGAAGGACCTATGGGCTGCTTTGGTTTCAAAGTTATAATGCATGGTTTAAAAGAGAGGAAAGGAAAAAAAGAGACAAAGCTGGTTACAGGTCTGAGGGAGTCTGAGGAGAGAAAAATACGAGAGTAAAGGGGGGACAAATTGAGGGAAAAACCAGTGGCCCAAAATCCCGGTATCCCACCCACAGCCCAGCCCTTGGAGCAGGAGTGAAGAATTAGATCAGTTTTGTACAAGAGTTTAAAAAAAAATCAAATCACAACAAAGCTGACTTGGCTTCTCTTTGAGCCTCCTGGATCACCGTATGTCTGTCACTCTGGCCAGTCCTGCCTCTCCACCACAAACACTGTTTCAGCTCTCCTAGGCCTCCGCCTGCGTCCCAGTCTGGGGTTTCCACGGAGTGTGAACACGAAGTTAGAGTGAGGCTGCTTCAGAGCTCCCGGCCCATGTGTCCATCCAGACTCCAAGTGGAGTGTAGGGCTCCCAAGGGCAGTGAGGGGTGGGACGGGCAGACCCTGCCCAGGCAGTCCTCACATTGGACAGGGCATCAGACGGCATCCCAAGGGCTCGCCCTCCCTTACCCCCCCACCCCAACTCAGGTGGAGGGGGAGCAGCTGTCACCAGAGCCTGTGTTGGTGAAGGTTTCGGCTCAGCACTGAACGGACATCAGCGGTGAACCTGGGACGACAACGACAATAACTTGCATAGGTAGAGTTCCTTATATTGATACCCTCATAACACTAAAGTGCATCACTGGAGAGGTGGGGCATATATAATCACCATATTCACATGATTAGGTAGGTCCAATTTGCCCACAGCCTACTAAAGTGATGAGCTTTGAAGTAAGAAGACCTGGGTCCAAATGTTAAATTCTTTTTTTTTTTTTTTTTTTTGAGACGGAGTTTCGCTGTTGTTGCCCAGACTGGAGTGCAATGGCACGATCTCGGCTCACCGCAACCTCCACCTCCTGGGTTCAAGCAATTCTCCTGCCTCAGCCTCCTGAGTAGCTGGGACTACAGGCACGCACCATCATGCCCAGCTAATTTTTTGTATTTTTAGTAGAGACAAGGTTTCACCTTGTTGACCAGGGTGGTCTCGATCTCTCGACCTCGTGATCCACCCGCCTCGGCCTCCCAAAGTGCTGGGATTACAGGCGTGAGCCACCACACCCGGCCTCAAATGTTAAATTCTTAAGGGAAGAGAGCTAAGTAAAACAGGACAAATGTTTTTTATTCCCTCTTAGGATCTCCCACCTCCTCCTTTCCTCAGAAATCCAAGTGTCCAGAGCCCACTTCCCTTACCTGAGGGCATCCAGCATCGGGAGCAGGTTGAGAAGGGCTGTGTCGCTGGGGTCACTGAACCAGGATTTGATGGGGATGGCATTGTCTAGGGTAGGTAGTGAAAATGCAGATAAGAAGAAACAGAATTGAAGGGAGACTGGGTGTTTTCCTCTTACTGGAGGGAAGGAGGAATTATTACTTAAAAATATATACCTCCCACTACCGGAAGTCAACAACCTAAGTAAAACTTTCCTGATTTATGCTCCAAAATAAAATTAAGTTTTTTGATTTATTTTTTTAAGACTCAGTCTCACTCTTCTCCACTAGGATGGAGCGCAATGGCGCAATCACAGTTAACTGCAACCCCCACCTCCTGTGTTCAAGCAATTCTCCTACCTCAGTCTTCCAAGTAGCTGGGATTACAGGTGCCTGCCACCACACCTGGCTAATTTTTATATTTGTAGTAGAGATGGGATTTCACCATGTTGGCCAGCCTGGTTTGGAACTACTGACCTCAGGTGATCCGCCTGCCTCAGCCTCCCAAAGTGCTGATGAAAAGAAGCGCAAGCCACCATGCCCGGCCTAAAATGAAGTTTTAATCACCAGATCTCATATTTATTGATGCTTCTAGTCAAACTTACTGCCATTGTACCTCACTTGAAACACACACTTGGCCTGGCACAGTGGCTCACACCTATAATCCCAACACTTTGAGAGGCCAAGATGAGAGGATCACCTGAGCTCAGGAGTTGGAGTCCACCCTGGGCAACATAACGAGATCTCATCTCTACTAAAAATCAAAAAATTGGCCAGGCGTGGTGGCTCACACCTGTAATCCCAGCACTTTGGGAGGCCAAGGCGAGCAAATCACGAGGTCAGGAGTTTGAGACCAGCCTGACCAACATGGTGAAACCCTGCCTCTACTTAAAAACACAAAAAAATTAGCTGGGTGTGGTGGTGGGCACTTGTAATCCCAGCTACTCAAGAGGCTGAGGCAGGAGTATCGCTTGAACCCGGGAGGTGGAGGTTGCAGGGAGCCGAGATCGCACCACTGTACTCTAGCCTGGGCAACAGTGCAAGACTCCATTTCAAAAAAAAAAAAAAAAATCAAAAAATTAGCTGGGCATGGTGGTACACACCTATAGTCCCAACTACTGAGGAGGCTGAGGCAGAAGACTCACTTGAGCCTGGGAGAACAAGGCTGCAGTGCGTGAGCTATGATCATGACACTGCACTCCAGCCTGGGCAACAACAGAGTAAGACCCTATCTCAAAAAATAAATAAATTTTAAAAAAGAAAAAAATGATATGAGAAATCTGACTTATGAAATGGACATATATGATATCTCATTTGAAATAGGAAAATAACTTGCATTTGGACTTACAGCAAACTAGGGATAAACTAGGGAATCCTAGCTCTCAGAGACCAAGGCCCAGGTCTCCTGAAAAAATACCTTCTCAGAACCATGTTCTGGTCCTGCCAGACTCCCCCTCTTCCCCATACCTGGATGGCTCCTGTAAGCCCCTGGGGAGTTATCCAGGATCACAATGCTGGAGAGGTCACTGTGAACCACAGAGAGGTCCTTGATGTAGCTGCCCAACTCCAAAGTGCAGTGCTGGAAGACAGGGGATTATGTAATAGGCCTCCCCCACACCCTTTCGAGGATCATTTCCTCAAACCCAGATCCATCCCTGGTGGCCTCCCTCCCAAGCCACACTCTTAGACCGGGATTCTAGCTTACCTGTCTGTAGTATCGCCTCTTAAGGATGCTTCTGCTATTGTCCAGTTTATCTGCCACAGCAGAGCCATAGATCTCCATGCTTGCTGTAAACACCACCAGCTCGTACCACTGGCTCACCTGAAACAGATTGGGGAAGAGGACAATGCCATACAAGGTGATCATTCTTTTAGATATACAGTTATCTTTCAGAAAGGCAACAGCATAGTCCTTCAGGCATTCCATCGACATCAGATGTCTCTGAGGACATGAAATTCTGAACCCCCAGTCCAAACCTCCAAACTCAGTGTTAGGCATCCTACACTCTTAAGATTTGGAAAGGGCCGGGCGCGGTGGCTCAAGCCTGTAATCCCAGCACTTTGGGAGGCCGAGGCGGGTGGATCACGAGGTCAAGAGATCGAGACCATCCTGGTCAACATGGTGAAACCCCGTCTCTACTAAAAATACAAAAATTAGCTGGGCGTGGTGGCGCGTGCCTGTAGTCCCAGCTACTCGGGAGGCTGAGGCAGGAGAATTGCCTGAACCCAGGAGGTGGAGGTTGCGGTGAGCCGAGATCGCGCCATTGCACTCCAGCCTGGGTAACAAGAGCGAAACTCTGTCTCAAAAAAAAAAAAAAAAAAAGATTTGGAAATGTAATAACAAGAGAGAAAGAAGCCTGTGGAAGAGTTACATCAGCACAACAAATGAACCCCAAGTACTGAAAGCCACTCCCCTACATCCCACAGCCTCCCCTCTCAAAAACTGCTCTTAGCCATTTCTCTTCATCCTTTCCTCCAAATCCTCTGAATTTCCAGAGCCCTAAAACCATTCCTTCATCACAGAGCTCCCTTTAGCTCCCCAAACTCACCACTTCCAAGAAGAAATCCACATGAGGCCTCTTATGTACAAAAAACCGGACAGGATGTTTGTCTATTACCACCTATAGAGGAACAAGATGGGCTGGGGGAAATCCTGACGACCACAACCCAGGCCTGGAAAACACCTCACCCACCTGCTTCCCTCCTCCAGGCTGACACCGGTGCCAGGGGATGGAAACTCTGGGACTGGGAAAGGGAGTCCAGGTCTGGGCAGAGTAACAGATGTAACCATTTCATCACTCCCTACCGCCACACACCTTGAGGATGAAGTCAGGAGGCGTCCCAGGCCGGACTGTGGGCCTCAGGACCCCATCATGGTGGGAGTGAATAAGTGTCTCATCCAGATCTAGCACCAGGATCTTCCTCTTCACCTGGGCTGAACCACAATGAGAAGGAATAATATTGACCAACCTCTGGCCCAGAGCTGGCCCCTACTTCACCTTAAAGGAGGCTTACGACCACATACTTACCTAGCCGATTCCGGGACACAGGAGATAAGGGTAGGATATCATATCGAACAGTTTGGTACTGAATTACCTAGAAATAACACAAAAGAGAATTGGAACCCTTGACAAGGAAGTCTTCCCCAGTAACAGTAACAGGTAGCACAGATTGAACATTTACCACAGGTACTGGGTATGTGACTTAGGATTATTTCATCTAATCCTCAAAACAACCCTGATACTACTATTATCCCTGTTTTAAGGTAAAGAGACCAAGGCTACACAGATAGGGATTATCTTAAGTTGTTTGTCTCCCTGATTAAAATGGAAACTCTATGAGAACATGATTTTATCTAGATCATGGCTGTATTCCCAGTGCCTAGAACACTGTAGCAAAGGTGGTTAGTTAATATTAGTAGAATCAATGAAGTGATAGAACCAGGATTGTACCAATGCAGTCCAACCCAAGAACCTGCCCTCTTTTTTGTTTTTTTGTGTTTTTTTTTGAGACAGAGTCTCGCTCTGTTGCTCAGGCTGGAGTACACTGGTGTGATCTCGGCTCACTGCAACCTCCGCCTCCCAGGTTCAAATGATTCACCTCCTTCAGCCTCCTGAGCAACTGGTACTACAGGTGTCCACCACCATGCCCAGCTCATTTTTGTATTTTTAGTAGAGATAGGGTTTCACCATATTGGCCAGGCTGGTCTCAAACTTCTGACCTCATGATCCACCTGCCTCAGCCTCCCAAAGTGTTGGGATTACAGGCATGAGCCACCACACCCGGTCAAACCTGCCCTCCTAACTATGGTAGTATCCTGCTAAGCTGAACAAAGAAACATACGACCCGCCCCCTCCCCCCGCCCCCACAACACAACCTTCACCCCAAGAATTATTTGTAGCAACTACCATCATCTCACATTGGGAACTGAGAGCCTCAGATTCCCTAGTGCACAGGGAGTAGGAGTCAGGGTAGGAGATCCCTGGGTCTTTAATGGGAATATAGAATGAGGGAATCCAGAGGTTGTCAGGTCAGCTAAGTTCCCCTGGCTAGAAGCCACCACGCTTATTTTAACCAGCCACCTGTCCACTTCTGTCTCTCCTAGCCAAGTCACAAGTTCAGGGAACCTCAGCCCTCTGAACAGCCTCCTTATCCTGGTACCTCGGGTGAGGCAAAGAACACTGGATAGCCCCTGCCAGGCTGACTGGCAGGGTTTGGAGGCCAGAGTGAACTCAGGGCTGTAAGTGAGAGGTGAATAAGGGACAAGGACGTCACCACCTCAGCTTCTCCAAGCTTTCCCTAGGGACTCCTATATCCTAATACACAAATAACCCCATTTGAAGCCTGGCAATTCCCTCCTCCACACTTTTCCTCAAAGGCAGAAACCCTCCTCAGTGCATCCCTAGGCCCCAAGGCACACAAGAACCAGGCTCTCCCTTGTAAACCAAAGGGCTCCCCGCCAGTCAAGATCTGCCCTTCTTTTCTCCCTGGGCCATGATGAGGTCTGAAACAGCTCGGGTGTCCAGCCTTGCTATCTCGGGTTGCATATACTGGGCATGCAGGGAATGCTCCAAGCATCTGCCAGAAAGGGGGTGGGGAAAGAAACCAGATTGGATGGGAGGGGAGGACAAAAGGCTGTGGGGTCAGTGCTGCCCAAAAGAGAGGAATTCTGGAAATAACTAACCTGTGGATGAGCTGAAGCACCACTCCATGTGCCCAGAAAACTGATGTGTTAGAGCGAGAAGGTCACACAGAGAAGAAGCAGTCAACCCATAAAGAAAACCCCAGGAGGCCAGGCACAGTGGCTTAATCTAAGTACTTTGGGAGGCTGAGGCAGGTGGATCACTTGAGGTCAGGAGTTCTAGACCAGCGTGGCCAACATGGTGAAACCACATCTCTACTAAAAATATAAAAAATTAGCCAGGTGTGGTGGTGGCCACCTGTAATCCCAGCTACTCAGGAGGCTGAAGCAGGAGAATCGCCTGAACCCAAGAGGTGGAGGGTGCAGTAAGCCAAGATCACACCACTGCACTCCAGCCTGGGTGAAAGAGACACCATCTCAGAAAAGAAAAGAAAACCCCAGGAGCTAAGCCCACACAGATCTCAGCAGCTATGACCCTAAATTTTTCTTGGCACCTAGCTCTTCTCTCAGGGGAATAGCGCTGCTGCCTAGAGCCACAACCATCCTGAACTGTTCGAACCCTAAATCAGTAAGTGGAAGTAGACTGGTAAAGGAGAGAATGAACCCAAGGCCAGACCCATTCTCCCAAATCAGTTAAGTCAACCACCACCACCACTCAGGGCTTTCTGGAAATTTCCTGGACACCAGGTCACCCCAACCTAGTTTTTTTCTTTCAAACTGTACTGAGGAGTACAGACCAAAGTACAGACCCAGAACCTCTGACCCCGCTTACTAAGTTCTCCCCAGGCTCCTTCTGAGGATTCTCCCTGGTGGTGATGAGACCACAAGAACACATTCATTAGGTGCTGTTAGCTGAAGGAGCTCTGACCTTGGAGAAAATCTAAGGGGAAAGGACCCTAAAGGACCCAGAGATGTTTGGGTGCATCCAGACAGTATCCCTCAGAATGCTACGGTCTCCTGGAGAAGCAAACATGCCCTCAGATTCAAGCCCTACAACTGACCAACGCTGCCCTCTGACAGGGACACCCAGACTTTAATGGTGGGCACAGCACCCACCTTGAACTCCCTCCCACAATTAAAGAGGCCCATCATTAAAACATCTGCTTTCGTCCTCAAATCCAGATACCAATATTCACACTATGAAATACATTTTCACAGCCTTTTTGGAGTTCTCTTAATGGGAACCGCAGGAGTTTCTCCTTCACACCCAGGATTTTCCCAAGTTCCAGTCCCTGTTTGTAATATATACATTCACACCCACCTCCACCCTTGACACACAAGTCGGTCTCTGCCTTGTTATGGGACCAAACACACACCGAGGTTCCAAATAGAGTCTTTCACAAGGCCACATCAACAGACCTGGCTGCCATCAAACAGGTGTTCCGCGCCTCTCGGTTTCTTTAGCAACAACTCCCGCTTTCTTAAAGAGCGCCCCACCCACCACCTTAGCCCCCAAGAGTTGCCAAATCCTGTTCCATTTAGCCCCCATCAAAACCCCCAAGGTCTTGGTTCTATTACAAGGGTCTCCCTCCTCCCCAGCCCAAGCCCCGCTTAGGGTTCCTTAATTCTCTAGCGAGAAAAGCACCCGCCAGGACTCCCTTCCTAGGCCCAAACAGAGGCCCGACACACTGAAAACCTGTGAGCACCGCGGACAGAGGTCCCCAACACCGCCAGCGCCCACCCTGGCTCACCGTGCGGATCTGCCTCCGTAAAAGGTAAATGAAGAAGCTCCAGAGCTTGGCGGCGAAGGCCACGAACGTGCGCAGCCCCAGCAGACACTGCGTCCGCATCATCCCGATGACCCCGGCACCGCCGGCCCCGGGGCCCCCGCGGCCCAGCTCCGCCAGCCCCCCGGGGGCAGCCCCCCGCCGCCGGGAGGGGGAACGGGGGCCCCGAGTGGCAAGAGAGGCTGCAGAGAGGGGCACGGAGCGGGCGGCTCAGAAAGCCACCGCGGGCTAGGGGAAAGCCCAGCGGAACCAGGAGCTGGGGGGCAAGCGTGGGCAGCCCGCGGGGGCCCACATGGGCTGGGAGTGGCACCGACGGCTTCGGGGAGGTTGCCGGCCGAGACAGGTCGGGCTAGGATGGGGTCCTCCGAGACCAGAAGAGAAGGGAAAGGATAATTGGGGGAGGGGGCTGTGGGGGAGGGGGCCAAGGAAAAGGGAGGGAGGGAAAAGGGAGGGGGAGGGGAAGGGGGAAAAGCGGAGAGTGGCCCGCTGCGCAGGCGCGCTAGGGGGCTACCCGCAGGAACGGAGCGGGCGGGGGCAGCGGCGCGCTAAGGGCCGCGACGGAGAACGGGCCTGCAGAGCTGAGGAGCAGGGAAGGAGGGGGAGGGGGAGGGGGAGCCGAAGGGCGCGGAGCGCTGGGCCGGAGCGGCTTCCCCCTCCCCGAGTTCGGGGGTCCTTTAGCCGCTGGGGAGCGGGGCTGCAGCCTCTGCAGCTGGGTTTCCCACTCTGACAGGCGCCATTTTACCGCCCAAAGGACTCCCTCCTCCTGTCTTCCCCCTCCTCTTCCCCTTTGACACTACTTCCGGTGGTGACGTGTATTCGCTTCACCAGGGCTAAGTTCCCCCTGCGCGGTCTATGGGGGTAGGTATAAGGAAGGCCAGGAGCAAGCCGAACGAGACTGCAGTATGGCGCACGCGCGGAAGGTGTCCACGGGGCGGGGCCTGAGGCAAAGCAGGTCCCGCCTCAAACTGCGTGGGCGGGGCGGAGTAACATCACGTGGCCCTGCGGTTAGGACCCTCGCGGGGGGCTTGTGGCTCCCCCTCCTCCCACTGACAACTGCCCTAACTGCTCTTCCTGCCCCGGTCACACTGAAAATGTAGACGGGCTCGTTGTACCTACGACTGTGCGCCACGGCTCGGGGAGGGGCGTCCCCCTGGAAATATTGAACATAATCGCTTCTCCAGACTATGTTAGGTCTTAATGGTGGGAGGACTCCTGGGTGCCCCGCCCTTTCACCCCAGGGTTGGGGCAGTGGGTTATGACGCTATCAGAGGGCGCCAGAGCAGGGACCTGACGCGAGTTGGAGATGTTGGACTCGCTGTTGGCTCTGGGCGGCCTGGTGCTGCTTCGGGGTGAGAGCCAGAGGCACTGGGTGGTTCTGGGCCTGGCTGAGGGACGGAAGTGGGGAGGAAGGGCCATGGGTCACAGGCTAAGTGTGGAGATCGCGACGGGCTCTCCATCTGTCGCTCTCACGCTTTATCCGTCCCTCGCTCTGCAGATTCCGTGGAGTGGGAGGGGCGCAGTCTGTTGAAGGCGCTTGTCAAGAAATCTGCACTATGGTGAGTATCCCATGGTGTCTCCCCGGCCTACCCTGGAAAGGGAGCTTGTGCCCACTCTGACAGTCCCCCCTCATCTCTACCTTAGTGGGGAGCAAGTGCATATCTTGGGCTGTGAAGTAAGCGAGGAAGAGTTTCGTGAAGGTTTTGACTCCGATATCAATAATCGGTAAGTACAAGTTGGAATAGATTTGAGACCTCTGTTGCTAAGGAAATTTGTTTACAACAAGCGCAGAACCTCCTATATAGTGGCAGTTTCTTAAATATTCATTTAAGAAACGGATATGGGTCTTTAAGGACACAAGAATTAGTAAGAGGAGTGATGAGTATTTGGGTAATCCAAAGCAAAGATCATAGAAATTGAGAGAGAAATAGCCTGGAGACTGGGAGAACTTGTGGGAAGGCTATTGTAGTAATTTCTTAATCCGGGTTGGCTCATTAAGGTCCATGTGTACTGAGCACCAACTGTAAACTACGTGCTATGCAAGATAGTGGAGACAGCAGTGAATAAGACGCACCTCCCTAATGAATTTTAGGGAATAATGGTAGGAAGTAATAGAGGCCTGGCTTAAGGAATAGGTAGTAGGGATGGAAAGTTTAGAACAAATGTAGAGGACTTTAGTGGATAGAATATCCAGGATTTATTGACTAATGTGGGGGAGAAGAAAGTACAGAGATAAGGAAATACCTAAACCCAGCCCCGTGCCTGATCAGTAGACATTAAGAACCATTAGTAGGGTGCTTTTTACTTCCTAGTTGGGGCAACTCAGTGGATAATAATAGTAGTTTACATCTATTGTTGAGCTCCTAATTTTGTATCAGCCATTGTTGTGATAGAGGTGGTGGTGTAGGTTACGTTGGCATTCCACAAGAAAACCAGAAAATAGAAAAGACGGATCTGGGGAAAAAGTTCTGTTACCACAAAGCTTTCACAGGATTTCTAGCCTATGCCAGTCTCCCTTTCCTGAGCTGTTATTATTTTTTTTTTTTGTAGTTGGTATTCCATGACTTAATTCTTGACTTTCTTTAAGCTGTTCTACAGGCAGGAACCAAGTCTCATGTCCTCTGCTTTCTCTTTATTTATCCATAGTGATAAATTAAGGCCGGGCACAGTGGCTCATGCCTGTAATCCCAGCATTTTGGGAGGAAAGGCGGGTGGATCACCTGAGGTCAGGAGTTCGAGACCAGCCTGACCAATGTGGAGAAACTCCATCTCTACTAAATATGCAAAAATTAGCTGGGTGTGATGGCTCGTGCCTGTAATCCCATCTACTTTGAGGGGCTGAGGCAGGGGAATCGCTTGAACCTGGAAGGTAGAGGCTGCTGTGAGCCAAGATTGCTCCATTGCACTCCAGCCTGGGCAACAAGAGAGAAACTCCATCTCAAAAAAAAAAAAAAAAAAATTAGGTGCCCCTTCAGGAAATACTTGATAATGGTGATAATTGGCATTTATCAAGCATATAGTATGTGTCAAGCACTGTGCTGAATGCTTTGAGTTTGGCATCTCCATTTTACCAATGAAGTAACTGAGTCTTATAAAGTAACTTATCAGTTAGCTGACTTTAGCCAAGTAGCAAAGTCAAGCTTGGAGCTCAGGCTGTCAGACACCAAAATCTGTGCTCTCAATCACTATATTATTTCAGTAATTACCTTTCATTAGTATTAAGGATGTTCATGAAAATTGAGAAAACAGAGCCATGAAGATCAGAGGATGAAATTTCTGATCCTCCGAGGGGGAAGGGACAATATTATGCTGTCTCCTGTTTTCCCTTTGCAGGCTGGTTTACCATGACTTCTTCAGAGATCCTCTCAACTGGTCAAAAACTGGGGAAGCCCTTCCTGGGGGACCACTGGGAGCCTTGAGAGCCATGTGCAATAGGACAGATCTTGGTCCTGTCACCATCGCTCTCGATTCACTCAGCTGGCTGCTGCTTCATCTTCCCTGCACCACACTCTGCCAGACCCTGCATACAGTGAGCCATCAGGACTCCTGTCCTCCTGGTGAGACCCCTCCTTCGTTGTTTCCCCTCGTACATTTCCTTCTGCCAAGGAGTGTGCCCCTTTTCCTTTCTACCCTAGAAGAAACATCCGGATTTTTCAGTCAGACCACTTTTCGTCTTTTTGACCTTTTGTCTGTTTTTTTACTTCTCTGTAATGCCATCTACCATTTGCTTTTTTCCTCCAAGTTCTTTTTTTTACTTATTTGTTTCCTTCACTCATTTATTTATTTAACAAATAGTAAATGCATACAATGTGTCAGGTACAATTCTAGATAATGGCAAAATAAAGACTAACTATTGCTGGATCCTTGTCTTCCAGGAGCTCAAAGTCCCATGAAAGATGGAGATAAGTAAACAAGATGGTTTGATAAAGGCCACAATGATATAGGACATGCACAGGGTACCTTAAAGAAGGGTATTTTTGAAGAGCAATAGGTCAGCCAGGCAAATTTTGCAGGGCAGGGCACTGGGACTAGCTCTCAAGGGCACTGTGGGTACTTGAATGGACTTAGGAGTCGGATGCCCAGATTTGTATTAACTTGCTTGATTTCTCATTGCTTCACTTTTTTGGGGGAAGATACAGGGGAAGTATTAGGATGAATCACTATATTGCTGTTTGCCTTTTTTTTTTTGGGGGGGGGGGCACCGTGCAGGTGAGGAGCCTGGGAGCTGCCTAAGGCAGCGGCGCCTGTGCTTTCACCCTAAATTGCCATTTCTTAGGTCACAAATTGTCAAATATTGGCTGGGCACAGTGACTCATGCCTGTAATCCTAGCACTTGGGGAGGTCAAGGCAGATAGATCACCTGAGGTGAGGAGTTGGAGACCAGTCTGCCCAACATGGTGAAACCCTATCCTACTAAAAATACTAAAAAATAGCCGGGGGTGGTGGCGCACACCTGTAATCCTAGCTACTCAGGAGGCTGAGGCAGGAGAATCACTTGAACCTGGGAGGCGGAGGTTGCAGTGAGCCAAGATAGTGCCACTGCACTGCAATGAGATGAAAGACTTCATATCAAAAAAAAAAAATATCAAATATCATCAATTTTATATGGTTTGACCTAAAAATGCACTGTGGGTACTCAAATGGACTTAGGAGGCAGACGCCCAGCTTTGTATTAAGTTGCTTGATCTCTCATTGCTTCACCTGGTAAGGATCCAAACATTGTGTTAAAGCGTTTAGCATAGTGCCTGACACACTCTAAATGCTCCCAAAAGGGGAGGGAAAAAGTTGAAGGCACTGACTGAGATCTTGGGAAGTTCCAGAAACTATAAGTATTTCCATGTGTAAGAGATGAGGCTGGAAAGTTAGTGGACACCACCTGCTGAAAGTGTTCATTCCATCCTGAAGGCTGAGGAGCTGCTAAAGGATTGGAGTTAGAGTGGTGTCTTGATCAGGTTTACATTGGGATAATAGAGTATATTAAGGTGTGGGCTGGCCGGGCGTGGTGGCTCACGCCTGTAATCCAAGCACTTTGGAGGCCAAGGTGGGCAGATCACCTGAGGTCGGGAATTCAAGACCAGCCTGACCAACATGGTGAAACCCCGTCTTAAAAAAAATTAAAAAAAAAAAAAAAAAAAGGTATGGGCTGGAGAAGGCTCAGAGCACCACAGTGAGATTGGCCAAGGGAAGTCAGGATTTTGGCAGCACTGTGATGGAATGTGGACCTCTCTCCTTTTCTCTCCACAGTTTATCCCAGGCCACCAGTCTGAATGTTCCCTACTATCCTGTGTTTCTTGTCCTTCTCTAGGTGACGGCTCCCCAGTGGGGAAGGTGCATGTGCTGGGCTTGCTACACGAAGAGCTTCATGGACCAGGCCCCATGGGAGCTCTCAGCAGCCTTGCTCAGACTGAGGTGACCCTGGGCGGTATAATGGGCCAGGCTTCGGCCCGCATCTTGTGTCGGCGGCCCCGACAGCGCCCAACTGATCAGGTCAGAAGAACCAACAGGAAAGGACTGGAAATCGGGGGCAGAGAAAGGGGTGGCATGATGGGAAGAACAATGAAAAAGCTGATGCTTCGAGGAGACTTTAAAAACATGTTGCCCAGGGTAGTCTCAAACTCCTGGGCTCAAGTTATCCTCCCACCTCAGCCTCCCAAAGTGTTAGGAATATAGGCATGAGCCACTGCGCCCAGCCCTCAAGGAGACATTTTGTCAAAAATGCTGATTGGGTATTTCTCTGTGTTTTCTATCACTTACCTGATTTAATTTTCACAGCTATGGCATAAGGTAGACTGTTTTGTTATCACCATTTTCAGGCTGGAAAGCCAGATCAGGCAGGGGTTTTTTGGTTTTTTTTTTTTTTTGAGACAGAGTCTGGCTCTGTGGCCCAGGCTGGAGTGCAATGGCACAGTCTCAGCTCACTGCAACCCCGGGTCTCCCAGGTTCCAGTGATTCGTTAAGTCTGACCCCATTCCCAGCCTCAACAAAGGGGTATAAGAAGACTGTTTTGCTGGGCGCCGTGACTCATGCCTGCAATCCCAGCACTTTGAGGGGCGGAGGCAGGCAGATCACCTGAGGTCAGGAGTTCAAGACCAACCTTGCCAACGTGACAAAATCCCATCTCTACTAAAAATACAAAAATAGGCCGGTCGTAGTGGTGGGTGCCTGTAGTCCCAGCTATTTGGGAGGCTGAGGTGGGAGAATCACTTGAACCTGGAAGGCGGAAGTTGAGATTAGCCAAGATCATGCCACTGCACTCCAGCTTGTGCGACAGAGTGAGACTCCATCTCAAAAAGAGTCTGTGGGGCTGCTCTGCCTAAGGAGTAGCCATTCTTTTATTCCTTTACTTCTTAATAAACTTGCTTTCACTTTTGAAAATAAAATAGAGGCTGGGCACGGTGGCTCACACCTGTAATCCCAGCACTTTGGGAAGCCGAGATGAGTAGATCACCTGAGGTCAGGAGTTTGAGACCAGCTGGCCGACATAGCGAAACCCCATTTCTACTAAAAATACAAAAGTTAGCTGGGTGTGGTAGCACATGCCTATAATCCCAGCTACCCAGGAGGCTGAGGGAGGAGAATCATTGGAACCTGGGAGACCGGAGGTTGCAGTGAGCCGAGATGGTGCCACTGCACTCCAGCCTGGGCCATAGAGCTAGACCCCGTCTCGAAAAAAAAAAAAAAAAATGTAAAGAAAAAGTTGAGGGCATGGGCTGAAAGCAGTCAGTTAAATAGGTGATTGGGGGCTGAGGATGTAAAGTCCTAGATCCTCTCTAGTTTCTTCGGTAAGATGAAAAAAATTCCTTTCTTTCTTCTCTCCAGACTCAGTGGTTCTCCATCCTTCCAGACTTCAGCCTGGATCTCCAAGAGGGGCCCTCCATAGAGTCCCAGCCCCACTCAGATCCTCATATACCCCCGGTATCTAAGAATGCCAGGGCCAGAACAAGGAAATGTAATTTAGGGTCTGGTAAAAGGGGAGAGAATAAAAGCTGCAGAGGTTGGGGGTGGGGTCAGGGATTCTGGGGATGGGGTAGAGTGGCAGCATCCTTTGCACCTACAGGTGGATCCCACAGCTCATTTGACCTTTAACCTTCACCTGTCCAAGAAAGAGAGAGAAGCCAGAGATAACCTGACCCTGCCCTTCCAGTTCAGCTCTGAAAAGTAAGGTTGGGACCTGGGTACGTGGATCCATATATAGAGCCCAGCATCTGGGCTGCGGAGAGGTGGGGCGACAGCAGGTTATTGATTAGCCTCAGACTTTATAGGGGCCGAAGTCCAGAGACAAGTCCAAGTTCTTTATCCACCATATATACCCCGTACAATGGCAGAGGGCCTTTATGTCTCTTACCTCTCCCTTAGGTCCCAGCTCCACTTGTCCCCAGAGCAACCTGGGCCTGGGCTGAGTCAGACCAGACCCTTGGGAAGTGGCCCTATCCCTAGGCAGCAGTGCTAGGAGGACAGAAAGCTATATGGGCGTGGCAAAGGTTGGTTAACAAGGGCTTAGTACATGCCTGCTGTTCTGTGCCCAGTATGTGGGTGGATGAAGCAAGACTACAAGATTCTTGCCCTCAAGCTGCTAGGAACTTACTAGGAGAGCAGAAGCAGTACTAGTATATCTATCCCAGTATCGAGTGGTGTTTCAGCTGTAACCTGGACGTCAGAGAAAGGGACTTGGACCAAGAAAATGACACAGAGGCCTAAGAGGGGTTGGCTGAGTGAGAGTCACAGTCACCTGGAAGAAAGTATTCAGACCGGACCTGTTAGCCACCCTTACCAGCACCAAATCTTCCCTTCTCAGACAGGAGGCTCTACTGCGGCCTAGGCCAAGCCAGGCTACCAGCCACATCTTCTATGAGCCAGATGCTTATGATGACCTGGACCAAGAAGACCCAGATGATGACCTAGATATCTGACTGGCCAAATTTTATTAGACTGTAATTGGAAGGGGCACGGGAAGACTTTGGGCCCAGAACCATCTCTGTTGTTTGTGCTGGCCTTATCCCTGCCCCACCTTGGTTCCCCTTGTCTATGGAGCCCCACCCCATGAGCCAGAAAGCAGTGTCTCATTAGGACTGAAGGTAGGATGAAGACATAGGGTAGCATGAGAGAGTAGAACACCCCCATGCCTAATAAAATTTTTTTTATTAAAAAAGAAACACGGCAGCTATTTAAATAAGACGGGGGTGGGAATGGATGTCGAGATACAAGCACCTGCCTCTTTTAGTCAATTGTCAGTGGAGTCAGTGGGGGCCAGGAATGGCCATGCAAGCCACTGGGGCACTCTCTGCATTTTCTGAACTGGAGTGTACTTAAGGTTCCAAGCTCCCTGCAAGGATCCAGACGGGGAAAGCAGAGGCCCTGAAGGAAAAAAAGCCTACTTCCCAAAACGAATTTTTTATTACTGTACAAAAAGCACACTGCCCCTTTTTGTCTCTCCTACCAATCCCCCCCACCCCCAGAGGACTATACATGACGTGCCGAAGTGACCAGGAGGCCTTTGTCCTGCACCCTGCCCACAGGCTGACCCTAGCCCCAGGCCCTTTAGGGCATCCAGACACACCCATAGCCTGTCAGGCTGGGGCTAGGAGGTCACAGGTCACAGGTCATAGGAGGAGATTCCGGGTCACACGTACTCCTTGGCAGAGTTGGGCTTAGGGTAAGAGCGGGGTGCACGGTACCCAGTCTTGCTCTCATTCCCAGGACAGGAACAGGAGAGCAGTGCACCTCCCAAGATGACCAGGGCAGACCCTGCCCAGCCAATAAAGATGGCAGGGCCAAACTCATACCTGTGAAGAGAAGGGAGCGGGGTGGGGGGTTAGAAACCCTGGCCTGCCTCTGCCCTCCCTGTCCCAGGACCCCAGACCTGTCCCCTTAGGAGGGAGGGCTCCCAGACTTACTTAATGTTGGTAGGGATCAAAGGGTTATAAAAGTCTGTGACAATCTGATGGCCATACCAGGAGCAAGCTACCAAGGCAGCAAGACCTGGAGAGAGAATGAGGGTTTCGGTATGGTGAGGCCCTAAACCAGCACCTTGCCCGGCCTTTCGCCTTCCAGAAGGGAGAGAATCCTGGGGCTCACCTGCCACGATGAAAATTATGCCTCCACCCATGGCTATACGGGCCTTCTTCACTTTGTCGTCTCCCCCACAGCGCGTGCACTTCATGCCCATCGTGGCCACAAACATGGCCAGGAAGCCCAGCACCAGGGAGACCACCATTAGGGCTCGAGTGGCCTGCATGGCCGCTGCGGGTGAGGGGAAGGGGCGCTGTCATTGCTGGAAATGCATGTGGCCCTCAGGCAGCTCCAGCCTTCGTGCCGCTGGCCGCGCCCACTAACCCCTGGACCTCAACTGGCTGGCGCCCGCCTCTGCCGCCGGCCTGGGGCCCCAGGTGTCCAAGGCCCAGACTCAGCGAGCAGGTCCCCGCCCCTCCCGACAGCTCGGCCTTCCTGCTCCCGCCCCGCCCTCTCGGCTCCAGGATCCGCCCGGGGCACCAGGGTTTCGGTGAAACTGCCCTGGATAGGGGGAAGGGTGAATGGGGGCAACGAGGAGAAGCGGAGACAGTGGCCCGAGCCCCGCGCAGCGCACACGCCGGCCGGCGTCCTAGCTCTGAGCCTGTTATCGAGGCCACCGGGTTTGTGGCTTCGGCTAATCGGCCGATAAGATTAGAGGCCGCAGGCGGCGGCCCACTCCGAACAGCCGCACCGCACTTTGGCCCTCGGCGCGCCCCGCGCCCGTGGCCCGTTTTTGAGTAAAGGGCGGGAGATGACGGAGGCAGTAGACTGCCCAAGGATCGGGGAGGGGACGGCCCCCGCCTAAGTACCAGTGTTCCGCGCCGGGTAGGAGGCTGGGTTGGGGGCGGAGGAGGACCGCGGGCAGCCGAGGTGCGCGCCCACGTGCAGCCAGAACCCCGGCCCGCTCCCGCCCAGCCCCGCCGCCCCCACCCGACCACTTCCTCGCCCCGCAGCTCCCCGGCAACCCAAGGCGCCCAGCCGTGGGGCCTCGGCCCTGCCACGAGCGCCACCCCCGCCACCTGGGTCCGGGGCGCGTCCGCCCCGTCGGTCCCGCAGCCTTACCAGACAAGGCGAGCACCGAGTCGTACATTTTGCAGCTCATCATCCCAGTGCTCTGCGTGACGCAGTCCATCCACAGCCCCTTGTACATGGCCTGGGCCGTGATGATGTTGTCGCCCGCATACGAGCTCATCTGCCACTGCGGGATGGCGGTGCAGGCCACCAGACCCACCCAGCCCAACAGAGCCATAGAGAAGCCCAGCAGCTGCAGGCCCGAGTTGGCCATTTCCGCCCTCAGAAAACACTGGGGGCGCCAGGCAGGAGACCCTACAGTAAAACAGAAGACGCTTGGGGGGCAGCCACACAAAAGAAAACTTGAGGTGGAGTTTTCAAGTCACCCAAAAAGACAAAAAGAGTTTGGGCCAGGTGAATGTAAATCTTGTCACCGAAGACACACAAATCAACCCTTCCAGTGACGCGATGGCCTCGCGGCAGAGGGAACAGGCTACGCCGGGAGGTGGTTCCAGACAAAAGCGGTCCCCGAAGTCCAGGCGGTTCCCTCCGGCGCTCTCAGCGACCCTAGCCAAACAAAAGGTGGAGGGGCCGTCTGGGCGCGGTGCTGGGCTCCGGCAAGTCCCAAAGTTTCCTGAGCTGTCCGCCGAGGCTGCGCTGCGCGGCAGAGGCGGCTCGGAGGTGAGCCGGCAGGTGCAGGCGGACAGGTGGGGCGTACCTGAGTATATGTAGGGCGTCGGGGGCGCGGCAGGGGGAGGCGAGATCGGAGGGGTGGCCAAGGGTGACCTGACGTCACCGAAGGGATACTCACCTGAACCGGAAGTCGCGGCCCCCACCCCTCCTTGCCCAGGTGAGGAGGAAGAAACCTGAGCACCAGGGTCACGCCCCCTCACTTGCCAGGTTTTGGCCGCAGCTAGGGAGGAGGTGGTGGCTCCGAATCCCAAGAGTCAGAGTCAGCCCCTCAGGACTGGATTTCCCTCGAGCACCGGGATGCCCCTTCCTTTCTTCCCAACAGGTGCGTCTGGAACGCTGCGGGGTGCCCCGCGTCCGGGTTTTGTCCAAAGTACTCTCTGCTCGGCCCTACTTTCGCCTCCACCCGCTGCTCTCCTTTTCTGTCTCCCTGGTCGATCCCACCTGCGGGGGCCCTGTCTCGATCCCTGAGAGTCCCTCCCTTCAGCACCGCCTTCATTGTCCCGGTTCTCTGACTCTGCCCCCCTACAGAGACCCGGCTTTTGAGCGTGGCTCCCCAGCAGCCCCCATTCCAACCCGACATGACTCCCAGCCTGAACCCTCTGTACTCGACCTCCCCACCTACCACTATCCCCTCCGGCGTCAAGGCTCCTAACAGGAGGAAGAAACCACTGGGACCGTAGCGGCGGAGGGTGGGGAGCAGGGTGAGGTCTAGGTCAGAGTCTTGGCCACACCCATCGTTCCCCTCCCTTGGAGTCTTTTCAGACCTACCCTCCACCTTTCCCACCCCTCCCCCAGCCACTCGTCCGTTTCTCTTTCCCTACTGGGCCCGGGCGCGGACTGCCCATTGCGGTGCACTCTTTCACGCCCTCACTGTTCTGTCCTCTCTAACGTGGCTCTTTAAGCTGGTCATCCGTGGGCCCTCACCCTGCAGTCCTGCTCTCTCTCCCCAAAGCACTGCTCCCTCCTTCCTCCTGGCACCCCTTTCATGCTCTGCTCCTTCCCCTGTCATCTTTGGTCATCTCCTCTTCCTGCCTTTCCTGTATTGGGTCTTCCTATTTCAGTCCTTGTCCTTTTTGTTGTTCGTTGGAGAGGGGGGTCCCAGTGTGTCACCCCGGCTGGAGTGCAGGGATGCGATCTCGGCTCACTGCAGCCTCCGCCTCGCGGCTCAAGCGATCACGCCGCCTCAGCCTCCGCAGGAGCTGGGACCACAGGTGCGCACCACCACGCCCGGCTAACGTTTTCGGACTTTTGGTAAGAAGGGGTTTCACCATGGTGCTCAGGCTGGTCGCCAGCTCCTGAGCTCAAGCAATCCGCCGCTCCCTCCTCCTAAAGTGCAGGATTCCAGGCGTCAGCCACCGCGCCCAGCCCACTCCTTGTCTTTTCGTTTGCCTTTTCGCCTTGTCTCCAGTCTCCTTGGAGTCCAGCATCAGAAATTAATCTTTCTTTCCTCTTCTTAGGTGCACACTGCACTTTTTCCACCCACTCTGCCCAATTTCCTCCCAATCATCCTACCCTCCAACCTCCTCACACTTATCAGACTCACATTCCCTGCTTATTCTGGCTCTCTCACGGTTCATTTTCCACTCTCCATTTTTTACCTCGACTCTCTCACATTTTTTAATCTTGGTTCTGCCGTCTCAAACATTTCTCTGTCTTTCCTTCGTTTAATTGCTAAACATATTAAAGGGCTCCTTATGCTACACTAACTGACCTGCTTTTGTATAAAGTAAGACTTTCATGAACTCTTTTTTTTTTGTTTTTGAGACAGTTTCACTCTTGTCACCCATGCTGGAGTGCGATGGCACGATCATGGCTCACCGCAACCTCCACCTCCTAGGTTTAAGGGATTCTCCTGCTGCAGCCTCCCGAGTAGCTGGGATTACAGGCACCCACCACCACGCCCAGCTAATTTTGGTATTTTTAGTAGAGATGGGGTTTCACCATGTTGGCCAGGCTGGTTTTGAACTCCTGACTTCAGGTGATCCACCCGACTCGGCCTCCCAAAGTGCTGGGATTACAGGTTTGAGCCACCACACCTAGCCTTTTAAAAATTATTTTAAGAGACTAGTCAGGCACAGTAGTGAGAAGGGGGTGAAGGTAGAACAAGAAGTTCCTGCCTGGGCACGGTGGCTCACGCCTGTAATCCCAGCACTTTGGGAGTCTGAGGCAGGGGTGGATCACCTGAGGTTCAAGACCAGCCTGACCAACAAGGAGAAACCCCTGTCTCTACTAAAAATACAAAATTAGCTGGGCGTGTTGGCATATGCCTGTAATCCCAGCTACTCGGGAGACTGAGGCAGGAGAATCGCTTGAACCCGAGAGGCAGAGGCTGCAGTGAGCTGAGATCACACCACTGCACTCCAGCCTGGGCAACAAGAGCGAAACTCTGTCTCAAAAAAAAAAAGATCAAATTACTGATCAAATCTCAGCTGGTCG